GTGGCACAAAGAAATAGCATGGAGATTGGGAGTATAGAAAATCTATACCAAGTTTCAATTGTTGCAAATGACCCCTGCATTTACAATATGCCAACCAACCCCTGTATGTGAACATTTTGTAATGTTAGGAGGCTCAATATCTGAATGGTAGATTTATAATCCTGGTTAATAAAGACAATGGCCAAACAATTTTAAACATGGGTGCCTAAGATCTGATACTCCTGACCAGATTCAGGTGGGAGATTTAGGTGTCTTACAACTTAGTGCAACTTACTACGAGAAATTAGGTAGATAGGGGTGTGTCTACAGATGCAATTAATGTGCATGAAAAACACTGTTTGAACGTGTGTCCTGGAGCAAAAAACTCTGGAGCAATTATCTCGAGTTTATTTGTGCGCAGTACATGGAGTCCGGTGGTAGCAGCCTGGGCTGGCAGGGGACCCATGGGGGTCCTTCTCAGCCTTTGTTTTGCTAAGCTAAATAAGACAAGCTCTTATAGTAGTCCCCTTTCATGATCATCCCAGTAATCCTTCTCTATTAATTCTCTGTTACCTTGTTTCCATTTCAGTGCATTTTTCTTGAATATGGGAGACCAGAGTCACACACAAGGCTCCAAAAAAGAACTCCCCTCCCCGGCGATTTGTATGATGACTTCACAAATTACCTATCTCTACTTACTCCTAAAGAAACTATTTCTCATCCAAACTGATACTTTTAACTCTAACAGAGCTCATTATTCACTTTGCATGACTATGTAGTATAAATAATTGTAGATTCTTTTTATTCTTGATTCATAGTTTCAAGTAGCTACTAAAATTTCAGACAACAACTGAAATATAAGCCCATAAACGTGAGGCTTTTAAAAATCATGTAGATGAAATTTTGAACCATGCAGGATTAAACTTGAGGGTGGCATTTTGGGAGTAGGAGAGTTTTAAGCAGCAGGTATGATAGAGCATGGTGCCATTTAGATGGGAGAAGGGAAAATTCCTTTTTAAACTACTTAGAAACATTACTAGAGAAACTCTTTGTGCTGTTAGTTAATAGTAAAACAAAACGTTTCCTACCCATTAAAGCAAAAATCATGTAGTGAATCTGACGCCAGAGGTGATGTAGCATGATAAGAAAAACCAAAACTGTTATGCAGAATGCTAACCCCTGTGAGAAAAATAAGAAGAATGCTTCATAAATATTGTCATAGTGAACTGTTTTGAACTGAGTTTGGTGAAGATGTTCTGTTCTTAAAACACTTTTCCCATGTGTTGTTCTTTTGCATGTTATTGTTAAAGTTAGGAGAGTAGGTAAAAACAGTGGTGTAATGAATTACCCAGTTATATAAATGAATCCAGGAACTGTAAAAATCACATGCAGAGGAAGAAATGCTGAAGTCTGCATACTTAAAGTGATCGCTGCTATGTACCAGAGACAATTTTATATATGACCAAGACACTGTCCTAGTCACAGCACTGTTCCATTCCTTCAGCTGTGGCATCTATCGCTGCCTGTCTTACCCTGATCTGTCCAGTCCTGCCAATATGTCCTGCAATTTCTTCCTCCCACTATAATACCACTTCACTAACTTTCTACTTCCCAGCACGTTGACAGCCCACCCTTTTTTATACATCTTATCCATAATTTCTCTAAGTCCCAGAACTATGCAGAACTTTTTTTCTGGCTTGCTACTCTCCCCATCCCTAGAAATGTAAACATCAGACTTATCTTCAATAACTGTTGAAACATGGTATTCAATACCAAGGATTCATAAAAATACAGGAATTGCTACACCCTTAGAATACACTTTCCCACCTGTTCTCTCTTCTATTTCTACTTTCCTTAACTGATTAACTTTGCAAGGGAAAGGTGAGTTGCGGATTGCTTTGCTAGTTTGCTTGAATGCCACTCCTGTAGTTTTCCAGAAAGAAAAAAATCACATCAAACATTTATTTGGTTATTTTACCTACTACTGATAATAAGCATCCAAGGCAGCAGTCCACTCTCAGGCAAAGCTCCAAGTAAATTAACTCTATAGACATTTTACCCAAGTAAGCAAATTAGGGAACACATGGGCAGAATCCCTTGGGGGGGATGCCAGACTGAGAGGGAGAGGAGTCTAGGAAAGCTGGCTGTACTTGAAAGAAGCTTTATTGAAAGTACAGGAACAAACCATCTCAATGTGCAGGAAGACTAGCAAGTATGGCAGAAAACCAGCTTGGTTTAGCAAGGAACTCTTTAGTAAGCTAAATCACAAAAAGGAAGCTCACAAGAAGTGGAAACTTGGACAAATAATGAGGGAAGAATATAAGAACATTGCTTGGGCATGCAGGGATGAAGTCAGGAAGGCCAAAGTGCAATTGGAGTTGCAGCTAGCAAGGCATATGAAGGGTAACAAGAAGAGTTTCTACGAGTATGTCAGTAGCAAGAAGGGGACAAGGGACAACTTAGAAAAGCTGGACATATACAAGTCCATGGAGACAGATGGGATGTATTTGAAGGTGCTGAGGGAGTAGGCTGATGTGATTGCAGAGCCATTGGACATCATCTTTGAAAACTCATTACAATCAGGAGAGGTCCCAGATGATTGGAAAAGGGCAAACATAGTCCCCATATTTAAGAAAGGGAAAAAGGAGGATTCAGGGAACTATAGACCAGTCAGCCTCACCTCAGTCCCTGCAAAAATCATGGAGCAGAATTTCAAGGAATCCATTTCTGAGCACTTGGAGAAGAAGGTGATTAGCAACAGTCAACATGGATTCACTGGGGGCAAGTCATGCCTGACCAACCTGATTACCTTCTATGACGACTGGCTCAAGGGAAGGTCAAAGGAAGTGATTATTCCCCTCTATTCAACACTGGTGAGGCCACATCTGGAGTACTGCCTGTGTTCAGTTTTGGGCCCCCCCCCACTACAGAAAGGACGTGGACAAATTGGAAAGAGTCCAGCAGAGCACAACAAAAATGGTGCGAGGGGTGGGGGGCATGACTTATGAGGAAAGACTGAGGGAACTGGGCTTATTTAGTCCAGAGAAAAGAAGACTGAGAAGGGACCTAATAGCAGCCTTTAACTACCTGAAGTGGGGTTTGGAAGAAGATGGAGCTAGACTGTTCTCAGTTGTGGCAGATGACAGAACAAGGAACAATGGTCTCAAGTTGCACCAAGGGAATTTTAGGTTAGATATTAGGAAGAATTTTCTCACTAGGAGGGTAGTAAAACACTGGAACAGGCTACCCAGAGAGCTGGTGGAAGCTCCATCCTTGGAGGTTTTTCAAAACCCAGCTAGACAAAGCTTTGGCTGGGATGATTTAGTTGGTGATGGTCATGCTTGGAGCAGGAGGTGGACTAGATGACCTCCTGAGGTCCCTTCAAACCCTAACTTTCTATGATTCTAAGTATAGTAAGGACTGAATTCCTATCCTTTGTAACATTTCTATTAAAAACCCCCACAGCAACAAATTTAATTTTCAGTGTTACCAGCTTTTATAATTTTTCCTGGAACATTCTTAAGAAGACATTGTCATGATAGTTTGCATACTTTTTAAATATATTGCCCCATCCTTGTTCTCAAATGAAGCCCTAGCCTAATGCTGAAAATTGTGGGCCAATTTAGACTTCATTAAGCCTCAAGCCAATGGGAAATTTTCCATTGAATTCAATGGTCATTGGATTGGATCCTTAGTCAGTAGAGCTGAGTTATCTTATACCACATCTGAATGCAGTGCCATTTGTTTATCTTTTTTCCCTATCACCAGTGTTTATTTACTGAAGCGTTTTTCACATGTGCTAAATTGCCGGTGATAATTTTTTAAAAGCAAACATGCCACTGAAATACTCACTGCCGAGGTGTGCATAGGCACATGTGCACATGCACACACACATACACACAAAACACGCACATTACACCGAGACATGCCCACAGGTAAGCTTCAAGGAAAATAGGTGTCCACATCTTCTAAAACCTACACAGTTCAAATTTGACACCCAGAAATAAAGACATTTTAAATTAATAGACAATTTTCAAAATTAGGTCTTAGTCCATTTGGATCTCCCAGTGAAGGTGCCTGTATATTATACATGTATTTTACAAATGTCCCTCAGCTCTACTTAAAAATCTGAAGCATTATGAATTACATAGACTTTCCAAACAAAGAGAAAAAAGTTACATTTTTGAGGCAGCCAGTTCTGACAGTGTCCTTTTAAGAAGGAAGATAAAAAAAGTCCACATCAGACTACATTATATCATCATACTGCTGTCATAATAGTGATATTCTAATACAGAGCTAGAATCTTTTATGCTTATGCTCTTTTTTGATCATGTCACAAACACACATGGAAGAAAAAACCTTGGAATAATTGTTACAAGGGAACATTAACCAAAATCACACCATGCTTTTTGAATTGTTATCAGACAAAGAGAAGAATCCTGATATTTACATAGCTCACTCAGCACATAGAAAAGAGTAACCCTAAACAGCCATACATTTCTAATTTGTGACTGACACATTTGTGAAACTACAGTGGGTGAATCAAAAAAACCAGCTGCTTATGCAGTAGGTGTACAATTGCAGGGGACATGAGGGTCCAGATTTTTAGCAGCTGATGAGTACAATTGCATCCATGGATGTAAATGTCTGATGTGCAAAGACATGGCCAATTAGACACTTGTCTGACCTCTAACTGATCATACACATGAGAAATAATGTTTTGGGTATTGGCTCACTCATAGTTTGTGCATCGGCACATAGTTAGGCACAGGCAAATGTATGCACAGTATTGTGGATTCTTACATTTGAGAGTCTGGCCCATAATATATTTTTAATCAAGTATTTTAATTTTTGAAGGGTTTTAATAAAATATTTTAATTTTTGAAGTTAAGATTAGTTTTATTTCCATATCTCTGAAACAACAGATAGTGCTTGTGTCTGTAAACATTTTTTTGTTAAATATTGCAGTTGGACCCCGGTTCCTAACATATACACTCTGAGAAGGTTTCATCAACACTAACCTCAGAAGTTGCTGTAGTTTCCTTACCACTCCCAGGTGCATTTTCATTGGTTGTTGCTGCTTCTGTAGCTTCTGCCTTCTTTATGTTCATTTCCAGAGAACCAGAAGGCCCTACTTTACTCAATCCCTCATGTGTTTGGGTTGAACTTGGGGTGCTTGCTTGCCGTGATTGGGCCTTATACCAACTAGGGTAAAGCAAAGGGTCGGCAGTTTCTGCTGTTGATGGCACTTGAATATCAGACTCTGCAGTCTGCTGAGAACCACCTGGCACAACCTGATCCTTAATCAGGATAGATAAAGTAGAAAAGAACAAAAACAGCAGAGTGCGCCGTGTTACTTTTCCATGTTAGACCACATTTTACTGCATGCCACATTCGTGTTTATAATTTACTATAAAGAATGCAGTGCTGTCTGTAGTTCTCAGAACAATTAGAACTGAAACAGAGCAAAAGCATCTAGTATTTGCATATATAGATAATCATATCAAACAATGGGTTGAATCCCTTCAGTCTTCACTCAGCAAAAATCCCCATCAAGTTTAAAGAGAGTTTTGACTGAGAAACTATTAAAGAAATTGTCGCTTTATTAATTTAATGATATACCTTGGGCTTGATTTTCTTTCCAGTCATAAGTGAAGGGTAATTTCAATGAAGTCAGTGGAATCACAGTGGGATAAAAACTTGTGGGAGGGGAGAATGAGGCTCTTTGCTTTAGAGAGATTTTGTCTAATGACTGTTTGGTACAGAAAAATAACTGTACCTCAAATTCAGAGGCTTTTATTCAGCTTTATCTCAGTGTACACTCAGAGGAATTCTTGTTTCTGAGGTATGGTACTGAGATAAAGTAGTGGTACACACTCAGGAACTGGCCCCATACATTTAAGAGAATGCTGAATGAAGGGACAAATCTAATGCTCATGGAAGTCAACTAGATTCACTTAGGTTTGGAGTGAATAATAATTAATCTAAAAATAAATTTACTGAATCATATCACTCAAACTTTATCCTACTGATGTGAGAAGCTAAAATAAGTCAATTATAATGACAATCAATATATAGATTTGCCGACCAATGGAAGTGTCTCTCTAATATAACTAGTGCAACTGCACCTTATCAGTGACAGGAGCAGCTGGCAACACTACACCCTTTCTGTGACAGTAAGATCTTTGCAGACTGTTCAGCTGGACATCTGGTAGCATCAGTATGGGTGACCACAAGTTTTTTACATTGCTTTCACTAAGCCAAAGGAAAAAAAAACTGAACTGTAAGCATCCTGCCCTGTACATTCTGCACATGCCTGTGTGATGAACTCATAACAGATTTTTAAAAGAGCTAATGGGCTACAACAGCACAGCTTTATCTTTTTCATTTTAGCTAAGGAGGTGTAGGGCTTCACAAGTGTTATGGCTTGTCTACAGATAAAGTTCCAGGGCATCTACATGCGTGCTCTGGAGTGGGGGGGAGGGGGGGAGGGAGCCACTATAATTAAAGCACCCACGGTGTCATGTGTATTCAGCATCCCGCACTTCAAAATGGTGACAGGGGAGCTTTAACTAAAGCTTGTTTAATGAGCTTTAGTTAAAGTGCCCCCACAGCCATTTTGAAATGCAGGGACACTAAATACACATAATGCGGAGGTTGCTAGAGTGCGCTAATTAGCACTCTCCAGCAGACTCGCAGCAGACTCAATCAAGTCTGCTCTGACACATGTTAATTAGCATAGGTCTGCCATGTGTATAGATGCCCCCATTGATTAAATTAAACCAGTGCACCTCCATAAGCAACACTCTTAGATGAAATGAAAACAGGTTAAATGGCCAACCTGCAGCATGTATGCCACAAATGGTCTTTTGTGTGTGGTGTGCAGCAGATCAGAGTACGGACAGGCAGCACAGCAGCAGATGGGGCAGAACACAGGAAGCAAAGCAGCAGATCAGTCAGGGAGCACAGGGCAGAAAGCAGAGCAGCAGATCAGACAGGGGAACTGCCACAGGCGACTGGTAGGGGCGGTATGGGGGGGCACGTGCCCCGCCTGAGATTGGCCCCCAACTCAGCACCACTCAGGTTGGGGCAGTTTTTTTGCTGTATGGGCCAGCAGCATGTTGAGGGGGGGAGCGCACGAAGCTGCGGCACAGAAGCATAGGCGTGGATATGGGGCTTTTGGTCCACCCCTGAGCCTGCCCACAAATTGTGCCCCCGCAGACTCAGGAGGCACCAGTCACCCCTGGGAAGTGCATCGGAGAAGCACTCGGGGAGAGTGCAGAGCTAATTGGTGGTACACCTGCCAAAAAGGTTGGCTCTCACTGGTTTAGGATATGAATTTCTGAATAACTCACCACAGCATAAAAACTGGGGCGGCTACAGAACCAGTCTACAGTAATTGTCTTCGTGCATGATCTTACCTCCTGTGCACTATTAAATTGTGGTAGTTAGCTCTCAGTGAAACAGAGGTCAATTAATGTGATTTAGCTTCCACTTACCACAGGATAATAGTGTGCACACAGGAAGTTACCATAGTGCACCTGACATTTGGTAAAGCTTTATGTCTGTTGTAAATTATTTCTATGTCTATGTTGTTGTTTAAATTTAGAGTAAGCTGGCTAAAAATCAACCTATGATAAATCAATATAAGACATTTCTAAACCAATTTAAGAGCCTACCCAAGTCTACAGGCACAAACCTGTAAAATCTCTAATAGATCAAAGAAAAGCCAAATCTAGTGAATTTATTTTTTGCTTGCTATGAAGGAGGAAGCCTGCCATTAACATGGATCCTCTTTTTGTTTCCTTGCTTGTGCATCAGCAGCTTCAAAGTCATTAGAGTAGCTCTGGAACAACTGGCCACATTCATTGAAGGTTTTGAGTGGAGTTGCATAAGAGATTAATTTAGCTTAATGTCTTTTAAGTGAATTCCTTATACTGGGATCTGCAAGTGACTATCACCTATTATTCTTGTGCAGATCTTGAAAAATATACGGTTATTGGTATTATATTTTAATATCGTTCCATGGAAGTGTTGACTAAAAATATAAAGAGATGTCAAATCCAGAATGTTTGTCACTACGCTGTAAGAAATGTAAGGTAAATTAGCCTTGCTTTTCCATAACTAACATTATGAGACATGAATTCTAAATGATATCCCCAGGATAAAAAGACCAGAGGAAGGTATGGTAAATGTCATTTACAGAAACAAAGGTTAGAGAAGTGAGGTGGAAATGGCTTATAAATATCCTCAAGACTGGCTAAATCTGATAGAACTATAAAGTTTTCCTTGTTTTTAATTCTCAACTCAGTTATAGGAATTGGTGTAGTTTCTACTAAACAAAGGAATAAACAACAAAACTGAGCACCAAGGTTTTTGGTCTTATGAATTTAAGTACAAAATTAAAACTTAGCTACCAAATATCTTTTAAGTAACATAACAAAACTGTTTTTCATCAAGGAACTCAGTTTTATACACACAGCTTGAATCTAGGTATACGTGCAATAGCACTAACATTTTTTTGCTGTCTTCCTTGTTCTGATGATCATCTTTGACATGTTTCTGAAATAAATCTTGCGCTATATATTAGATCAGACTAGATCATTCACAGTACTGTAGACTACAGGAGACACTAAGCATCACTGACAGGTCAGAGAATTGTTAGATGCATTTACCTCATTAACAGAAGCAGCTGGCGTAAAGGATGGGTCTGGTGGAGCCTGAGGTCCGCCTAGTGTGCTCTTGGGTTCTGCATCCAGCTGAGGGTGCTGGGATACATTCTCAGCTACCCCTTCTTCCTCCCCAGATGACTCTGTGTGGACTTCATCAAACTCTTCACCTTCCCCGAGCTCCACATCTTCCTCATCCCCGTCCTCCTCTGATACAACATGCATGTAAGTACAGCTTTCATTTAACACAACAGCATGTGAAATATACGTTTTATTTGATAAAACAGTATTTAGGAATATGAAGTCACTTAGACAGCCAAACAGCAGATATACTGGTGATCTGAGTTCCTGTTCCTGAGGCCTTACCTCATGGGAAAAAACAGCTTGGGCTTTAAGTCCTGCTTGTGAAAAACAAGACTGTCATCCGCCCTGGATAAGTGCACAAAGATGATGATGCAAGGGTGAAAGGGGGAGCCTCATCCTACTTCTTCTTACAGTCATTAGTGCCACTAGTAATGCTAGGGTCCCCAAAGGGGTGGGGACAGGAGCAGAGACTGTAATCTGCCAGAGTTTAGTATAGCAGCTACATCCCTGCATTGCAGGAGACAATGGACCTGCCTGAGGTAAAATGTCTTCAGAAGCCTCCCCGGGGCATTGACTCCTCTCAGCCTCTACTGCAGGGACTGTTTTACTTACATGCAACACATTCTGTTGTTAATATTCATGAAAAAACACATTTTGAAAGGAATACAGGTTGTAGCCGTGTTGGTCTAAGGACACAGGCAGACAAGGTTTTGTGGGTAAATCCGGTATCTTTTATTAGACCAACTCAAATAGTTGGGAAAAGTCTTCTTTGCAAGCTTTCAGGTACAAATAACCTTCATCAGGCTGAGGAAGTGTCTGCATTTAGTGTGTGCAGGCTGAGGAAGCATCTGTAGTTTTATCTGTAATAAAAGATATCTGATTTACCCGAAGAACCTTGTGTCTCTATGTCCTTAGACCTACACGGCTACAGCCTATACACCTGAAACATGGAAGATATTGAATTTTGCCATTTGAAATGGAAATTACACAATATGAAAAAGAAAGAAGCCAAACTCAACAGTGACATATATTTTCAAAAATTATGCAAGAAACACAACATTGTACCCAGAGGACTAAACATCCGCAATCCTCTGACTACTACACACAACTCCAAAATGTTTCACAACTTTGCAGGAGAACTTCAGAGAAACTTAGAAATCATTTTCTTTACCTAACCTACTCCAAAAGAGATCAGCTCAGGAAGGAAATCACTACATGCTACAACAACTTAAAAGAGAAAAATCCAGACATCTTATCAAACATTATACAACATATACAAAGAGACTACCTAAGTTGGTCTGCAACATTCATCCAACATAAAAAGAAGAAATGGAACCAGTCACTTCATGAACAACTTTCCCAACCATGAAGCAGCTATCAGGGAACAACACCAATGCCTTACAACATTCCAACCTCAAACTTGATGAAACTGAAAAAAGCAACCAACCCTCAAATATCATCAGTCTCGCCATGCACACAATTACCAAAGCTAAAAATCTGCCCTCTCTAAAAGCCTGAATTTCTGTCCAGAAAAATACTCTAATAAAATACTTCAATGTGGAGAACTAGAAGAATTTTTCTGACACCTCCACCTCTGCCTCCACCTCCACCTCAAGGAATATTTCCACAACCAAAATGAATCCACTTCCAGCAACACTTTATCCTTTGACTACATTGAGGAAAAAATCAACCCCAACCCCCACCAAAACTCAGGCCAGACACCTCACAGTGGGTGAAATTCTAACCTTGACCACTATATTGACTGCTTCATGGAAAGAATGAACAATAAAATAATCAACAACACACACCACCTGTAGCAGGGCACTAGGGTGCCTGCTACTGGTAACAGTAAAATGGGCTCAGCTGCCACTCACCAGGGCAGCACAGGTGGGGGTTGCTGAGACAACCAGTTGGGTCAGCTGACCAGGAGGGGGCAGGGCCTGGCCTATATAAACAGACAGGCTGAGGCTGGAAGGTCAGTTCTCCTCTGGCAGCTGAGAGAGTAGGAGCTCTGGGGAAGCAGGCAGTTCCCCACTAACATCGAAGGGTGAAGGAGCTCTGCGGGAGTGTTGCAGCCTGTAGGAACTAGATGGCCTGAACAGCTTCGGTTAAGGACTGGGTGGAGAAAACCCTGGAAGGTTTTTGAATGATGGCAAGCCCGGGGGCTTAGAAATTGTGTTTTAGCCAGATGGCTTAGAGTTTATGTTGCAGCCTAGGGGCTTGATTTTTTGGTGGTTTGTTATTACACCGGAGGACCAGGTGAGGCTGTAGGGGTGTGAGGAGGCCTCACGGGAGCTCCCCAGGAGTCTGGGGGGGTTCCTGAGTGCCCTGTTCGGGCACCGCAAGCAGTGCCAGAGAAGGCACAGCAGTTTGGCGCCAGAGGGGGCGCAGCAGTGTTAGGAGGCGCATTGGCCCCAGTCCAGGAGCCCCGGAGCGAGAGGGGGCAGCAGTGAGAAGCCCTGGAACTAGAAGGGGTCTGGGGCCAGTGAGGCCGAGGCCGCGTGAGCCCCGATTTTGCGGGGACGCGTGAGTAAAGGCCCAGCGCGGGGAGCGTGAGCATAGGCCCAAGTGTGGGCAGAGAGTGAGGCACAGGCCCCGGTTGGGGCGAGAGTGCGGGGAGTGCGAGCTAGGCCGCAGAGTGGGCGACGCAAGCACGGGAGACAGGCCACTGGGCGGGCGACGGGAGGACTTATTGGTAGCCCCTAAGGCTAGAGTGCACCAAGGCAACGGGACAGATCATTAGCTAAGTTACATCAAGGCACTGTGTCAGAGCAGATAGGAAAGGCAGCCTCCCCTAAACATTTTTTTTTTTTAAACATCAAAGACGTGGCGGGCGAGATTGGTGAGGGTGCATTTTGACACCAGCTAGACACGGTAGCCAGGGGGCGCTAGGGGAGTTCATGGCACCCCTAGGGCATTCCTGTCACACCACCACAACAACCTCTCCCTCTCAGAGAGAAGTGCTACAGAATCTCTAAGATTTAACCACCAAATAGTAATAAAACCAGCAGATAGAGGAGGAGCTATAGTTATCTTTAAGCGTGAAGCCTACATAAAAGCAGCCAACAGACAACTCTCTGACACCACCAACTACAAAAAACTAGAGGAAGATCCTACTTCCCTTTTCACCTTGAAACTCAAAACTACCATCAAATCATTTCGATCAGAACTACAAGAAAAATTACAGACCTTGACCCCTTCACTACCTAGCCCAGGGACTTTTTACATACTCCCTAAAATCCACAAACAAGGGAAACCCTGGCAGATCTATCGTATCCAAATATGGAACCCTAACTGAGGAAATATCATGTTTCATTGAATCAATCCTAAAACCTCTTGTCACCTAAAAAGTGAGCTTTGTCCCAGACACAACAGACTTTCTATGAAAACTTAAAAAAATAGACCACCTTTCCAGCAACACACTCCTAGCCACCATGGACATTACCATCTTATATATCAACATCCCACACCAGGATGGCATCCAAGCCTGCCTTATATATCTACAAGAGCAAGATTACAACTCAGAATACAGATATTACTGACCTTATACACTTCATCCTCACACACCACAATTTCACTTTCAATAACCAACACTTCTTCCAGACAATGGGCACAGATATGGGCACCACAATGGCCCCACAGTATGCCAGACTTTTTATGAGCCACCTGGAAGAAGAATTCCTCAAGGACTGCACCATCAAACCCTTGCTATACTTAAGATGTATCAATGACATCTTCATCATTTGGACTGAAAACCTTCAATCTACAATTGTTTTCCATCAGAAATTCAACAATCATCACCCCTCCATCTGACTTGAATACTCCAGCACCAACATTTTATTTTTATACACAAGGATCACTATCCAGAATGGTAAAATACAGACCACCATATACCAGAAACCCATGGACCAACATACATATCTGCGTAGAACCAGCAATCACCCTAAACACACCAAGAAAGCTGTAATATACAGCCAAGCCCTCCGATACCACCAAATTTACACTAAGAACACCTGTGATTGTCACTTCACAAATCTCAAAAGGGCTTTCACTCAACAAGGACACTCCTCCAGAGAGAGAGATCACACTTTTGAAAGAGCTACCCGGGCATCACGTGAGGAATTGCTGCAGTACAGAAGGAACCCCCCCATGAATTGCACACCACTGGTTATGTCATAACATCCCTTCCTGGAACCTATATGGAAAATCCTCAAACAATTGCAACCCATACTAGAAGATGACCTAATTCTTAAAGAGATCTTCCCAGAACTACCCATCCTAGCCTTTAAACAAGCACCGAACCTTGCCAACCTCATCACCAAAAGCAACCTTCCTACAGCCCAAAATGCATCGAATGGATTCAGACCATGCCATGACAAGAAATGTAAAACCTGCCAACTTATCTCCACCACCCCCACAATTACGACACCCCACAACAGAGCCATCAGCATTCCTGGATCTTACAGCTGCACCTCCAGAAATATTTCATCCAATGCACCAAATGCCCTGATGGAAAATATGTCAGAGACACCAAACAACAACTTCTCACCAGAATGAATGCACACCAGAAATCTATCAAAGACAAGAATACCCAATTCCCTGTGGGAGTATATTTCTCACAAGAAAATCTCTCTCCCTCCAATCTCTCATTTCTAATCCTCAAAGGGAATTTACAAAACACCTTTTGTAGATATGCCTATGAACTTCACTTCATCAGCCTACTGTATACAAAAACTTCTGGACACATTATAACCTGCCTAACTTCTGACTCTCCAGAAAGAGCACAGACCAATTGTAGGCACTTCCTTAGCCTGTCAAAGGGTATTTGTATCCAAAAGCTTGCAAAAAAGAATTTTTCCAGTCATCTGAGTTGGTTTAATAAAAGACATCAGATTTACCCAAAGACCCTTGTCTGCATTTTGAAAGGAAGACACCTAACTAGGCATTTTGTTCTGCATAATCATATTATGCATCCCTGTTCCCCTCAAAAAAAATCAGACCTTACTCAGAACTATCACTGGACTTCAGACAAATAACCATGAATGAATGCATTAAATGTAGCTTCAAACTGACAATATAAAGGTCATGAGAGTTTTGTCAGTGAAAAGGGCGTGTTGTGTCTTATAACAAGTGAAAACAGAATTGAAAACCAGGTGTTACCTCACAATATGTAAATGTTCTTAAGCTAAATAATACTGATATAAGAGATTATCTTAACCTGATTTTGCAAACTGTCTCCATTGATTTCAGAGAAAGTTTAAGTACACCCAAAATGAAGGCTTGACCTACTTATGTTGAAACTGTATGTTGGTATATATCAAAGCAATGGTATGATGACAGTATGAATATAAATGCCTTAGTAGAGCTTGATTATTTAGCAGATTAATTATAAATGGCCAGCACTGTGGCCCTCTATATTTTAAAATGTTCAAAGCTTTAGGTGAGAAATCTGTTTATTTCAACTGTTTTTGCCCACAACATTCCTATTATTTTGTAAGATAAAGCAAAACAGGTATCTAGGTTACACACTACTTTACTAAACATAGAATAGCAACTTTATGTTATTTTGTACATGCTGTATTTTGGGAATATAAATAACACCAAACCAAGAGCCTAAAACAAGAAAGAATGATAAACCTTTGCTTGTTCCTATAAATATATAGAATACAGAATGTAGAATATATTTTACATTTTCTGACATTTTTCTGATATATTTAAAAAGGAAAACATATTATTTATATTTTCATACTTTTATTATTAGTATCATTGTACTGTAATAATTTCCTCTGTAGCTTTTATACTTTTAGAGTTTAGCTAAATATAGAACTTGGGTAATTGCTTACTATAACTGAATGCAAACTGATCTTGTACTCTCTGTTTTAGTGGATCTGCAGTATTGTTTACTGCAACACTTTTACATATAGAATCAATAAGGGCTGAAGGATCCATTTTTAAAGAAAATACTAAGACCATAGTAAAGGAAAACAACATGTAATATCTTTTTGAACTGTGATAGGTTTTGCTTTTGATTACAATTTGTGTAAAATTGTCTAGTTGTATTTGTAGATAGCTACGCGTATCTTATTTGACTTTTCCTCACACCATATCTTCATGTAAATTACACACAGCTGCAATTTAAGAAAGCAACTTAGGTAAAATAAATAACATACCTCTGTAAAAGTCAATTTCTCTTATTATCTTTTCTTCTCTAGTTAGGTTTACAGTGAAATGGTTCATATTTTCGTAGTCAGGCACTATTTTTTCCATTTGAAATGCTTTTGATGCTTCAGTAATTCTAAAATAGAGATGTGTGTCATTCAACTTGTTTTGCAAATAAATTTGTAATTTATAATAAAAGATAAATAACATAAACTCTCTGTCCAAAAGAAAGTACTTACTTTTGAAGCAACGTTTTGGCATTCTGTGAAAACAAAAGTGAAATGACTGACTTTTTAAATGGTTCCTTTATGTCAAAGAAATGTTATACAACAGAGCCTAATTCTTATACAACTGCTTCTAAACAAACTAACCTGAGCATTCATTATTAATGACAACCATGAGCCCTATGAATGAGACAAGACCTACTTTGGAATTTTTTAAAAATATTTGAATAGTTTCTTTTTGGGTCTGAAAAGGGGGAAAGGGAAAAAAATAAATTTGAAATCTCAAACCGACTTTGTTTTTTTGAAAACTGAATAATAATCTGGGTTTAATTCTTGATTCAGCCATTGACTTCCTATGTGGTATTTGCTGAGACACTTTCAGATAAATCCTATTTCATTTTATGCTAAAGTGGCCCTTATGTAGGTGTGTAATTTTTGGCACTTACACACAACCTGGATTCTACCTCTATCTGTATCAGAATATGATTGCTTTATATGTTGTACCTCTTAAACAGAGGAAGTGAGTGGATAGACAGCAGTGGGACAGCTTCTGCCCCAGAGGGGCAGGGAACAAGGCACAAAGCCAGGACCCCTCCTTGCCAGGGCAGAATCCATTGCACTGAGCACCCTTCCTCTGGCTTGTTCTCCTCCTCCTACCTTCACATGACTTCCCTTACTACCTGCCCAGTGGACCTGCTTCAAGATGAGACCTGAAGAACACTTTGGTAGGAAGTTGTCAAAATGCATATACACAATGGAGATTAAAATGTTGCAATTCCTCACAGATAGAAATGGCTAAATCCACATGCATGATCAGAGGGTACTCAGGTATTACAAAGTCAGGGCTGTCTGCAGTCTACCCCTTGCCTGCGATCCATGGGCATGTTACCCATGGGCTGCCAGTTGTACATTCCTGATATGAGTATATGTATGAAAATATTGTTTCTGCTTCCTGCTTCTGAAAATTTATAATCCACAGCATTTTTGGTGTGAACAGGAAAAACACAGTCTTGTGCCTATATTTTTGTTTGGTTGTTACCCACATGAATTATGGTCATTCAAATGTGTCTGATAGGAAAAGTACTTCATAACTTTCAAACATATCTGTGATAGTTATCCCCATTTCTGTCCTATTTCACTATCAAATTCTCTACAATATACCTGCAAAAACACAGCCATTTCTGGTTCTTCCATGAACTGGATTCCTGATTCAACAAGCTTTGACACAGCCTCCAAATGGTCTGCATACTTTTTCATTAGGGACCGGACATGTTCCAGCTTCTCCTCTTGGCTTCTAGTGATTATTTGTGTCATTTCATTTTTTCTTTCTTCCAGTACTGAATACAGATAATCAAATTTTTCACACAGTTGCTCCTTCTGTCTTCTGCAGCAATCCTGTGAATCATTTGGTTTATGTTAAAAGTGTTATGTTGCTTAAAATTGTTTCTATTTTTACAATTACTTAGAAGTGTTTTTGTCAAAGAAATCCTTTCCTGAATAATACAAAGGGTGTTTTTTAAAGACCCAAGAGACTTTTGCAATTTTCTAAGTTAAATCTGTTATAACAAAAAAAATGATGGATTGCTCTGAACAATTTTTTAAAAGATAGACTACTGCTGTATCAGCACACTAATAAGACTAGAGGTGACAAACATTTATGTTGTGTCTGCCATATTACTTAAAAGCCACAAACTAATTAAGAAGACACTGGCATTTTAGCAGCTGAACTTAACTACATAAACAGAAGAATGGTTATGATCATTGAACAGTACAGACCATCTCAAATCGGTTCTGAAAAATTCAGAAAAAAGTCCAGATCTACCAGTGATCCTGAAACAATTCTGTCTGGGTCTGATTCTCATTTACATGGAAATCTTCTTTCTACTACTCTGACAAAGAAAAGACTCTTTCAAGTACAAAACAATCAAAACCTAATACGTTTACTGAATGTGGCAGGAGTACTGTGAAAAATATAGTATATGATGTTACTTTGAAATAGTGATGTATTAATACAAGGGGTGGGGGAGAGTTAAGGGTCTAACCAAAATGCTGGCATTCACTCTCCTTTAAATGCTTGATTTTGCCACCTAAATAATATTCCTCTAGTACAGATCTTGTATGCAATTTGTAGGTGCAGCAAAATCGTACCTATATCCATCCATGCTGCCATATTAACATATCGCATGGAAAAAGGAAGATTGGGTTTGCTGAATAATTCCATGATTAGTCTTCGGAAAGAACACAGGGCCTGGCAAGAACTGATGTTGGTGACTTTGTAGGTGATGTTTTTCCTTGGAAGTATGAACTGAATCAATTCCCATTCAAGGGTTTGGAGCTACCATTTTTCATATGAGATATAAAATGGAAATCCTGATTGCTTATAATAATAATTAAAGATGAACACTACTTTCTTGACACAGGTAGGGATATTAATTCCAGTTTTCTGTCTAAGTTTCAATGTAGTCAACTAGAGTCCTAACTGTATTTCTCACTGTGGTGTCTTTTGAATCCTATTTTTTTTTTCTAATTTTCTGGCTTAAACTCTCTCAGGGTGTGCCTACATGTACACTTTAATGCGCAGTAGCCTATTTTACTTTGAATTAAAGCCTCATGTAAAAAACTGTGCAAATATGCTAATGCACAGTAAAATAGGCTACTGAACATTAAGCATCTAAAGAAGCATGGGCTTTCACTACTGTACATTGGGGTAATCTAATGTGTATTTATTTAGTACCTCATATTGAAGGTACTAAATTTAATGCGCATTAATGCATTTGTAGACGTGCCCTCAGAGAGTTGCTATGCCCTGTTAAAACTTTATTTAGTTTAACTCCAGAAGTGTCTGCATGGCCTCATGTGCATCTACACGAGACATTTATTGTGTAGTTGACTAACTAGCTGCACAGTAAATGTCTCAGCATCTACACATGTGTCCCTATTAGGCTGGAGTAAATTAATTTACTCTGCAGCAGTTAATGCAAGTCCTATCCTGCTGCAAAGTAAAAAATTCTATAGCAGTGCATGTGTAGATGCTGCCCTGTCTGGGTAAGGCATGAGGGTGCTTCAGTATGGGGGCTGCCTGCTGGCTAGCCCCACGCTGAATCACTCTTGTGCCCAAGCCAGCCCCTCCACAGCACAATGAGCTGTGCAGGGCTTGCCTAGGATGGCAGGCTGACCCCCTGGGCACCCTGCCAGCCAGGGCTACTCCAGCTCAGCTCATTGTGCTGCAGTCCTAGGTACAAGTTCATATGGTACACTTGGAAGCAATAAACTCCAAAGCAATAAGCTCTGGAGTTTATTTCTTCTGGTTAATTGCATGTGTAGATGTGCCACAGAGAGATAAGGGGGGACATGTCTATTTATGAAATTAACTGGAAGCAATCAACTCCAGAGCATAAGAAATGTCTAGATACTTGTCTAAATATTTGCTCCAGAGTTTATTGCTCCCAAGTGTTCTGTTTTCATTGTGCCTGGGACTGTAGCATGTTGAACTAAGTTGGGGCAGCACCAGCTCACAAGGGGCATTGTGGGGGAGGGGGGAGTCAGCCTGCCAGCCTGTGGCTGCTCCCCCACAGCTCAACATGCTGTGGAGGGGTTTGGCTGGGGCACAAGGGAGCTTCAGTGCAGGGCTAGCCAGCAGGCAGTGTCTACACATGCCCTGCTAAGGAATAAAAGGTGCCAAAGCAAAGGCTCCAGAGCAGGATAATACTTGTATTTACAGGTACTATCCTGATGTGGAGTTAATTTGTTTACTCTGGCCTAATAGGAGTGCACATGTAGGCATGTGACATTTACGGAGCAGCTAATTAGCCAACTTTGCAGTAAACGTCTCACGTAGATGTTCTCCCCCCGGTGACTCCTATCCTAGGGCCAAGGTAAAACATTTAACAATTTTTGGCTAAAGTAAGTACAACATCAAAAGGGATTTAGTGTCAGAATTCTGGAAATTCCCACTTTGTTTGATTGGACAGTCCTAAATATTATTTTTTTAACTATGGTTTCCATGATTTGGATTTTTACATTCCTTTATTGCTTCCAGTGTAGTATGTGAATTTGTGCTACTTTTTGGTTAGCTGGCTGCAATTTTAAGAGTATTTGGATTATTTCCATTAAACATTACATAGGAACTTTAATTAAATATAGAACTTGGGCATTTGCTTACTGGACCTAAATAGAAACTGGTTTGGCATATCTATATTGTTTAGCACTGCAAAATGGTTCAAGAAGTGGGATGCATTAAGCAGGGGATAGAAAAAGCCCAAGGTTAATAAGCAAGCCCATTTCTGGGGGTGTGTGATATATGTCTCTCCATTCCAGCCATTCATTTTAGCACTCAGGGTCAAACAGGTGTCAAATTCAGATGATAGTCTTGTGATTGCACAGAGAGTGATTTGCCTGTAATGTGAAGTGAAAGCACCATGTGAAGTTGTAACATCTTTTTTTCCCCTGCAACCTCTTAGTTTTTCAGACGCAAAAGGGCTCTGAACTCCTTATTCCATCAATTTCAATTTTAGATTTAGAGTTCAAAAGATGAGTACTACATATGAGTCAATGACTCTAAGGAAGTTACTTTCAGAGACTGTTGTATTTATTTAAGTATTTTTAGCAGTGTGTTCTCAAGTTTCAGCTTAGATGACAGAAGTCTTGGTTTTGTATTCACTAGTCATACTGGAGTGGAAAGCAGCCTAAGCTTTCATATTATTTTAATTTCTGCAGCTAACTTACTTGAAAGGCTCATTTCTGTCTGCAAATTCCTGATAGCAGCCAATTTCATACTTACTATGCAAAAGCTTCTGGACTACAAAGTTTTGACTTTTGCTAACATCTTCACCCATTTATTTGGGTTAACAGTTTTATATTCCTTGAATCAAACTTAGACACATCTGTTTGTCCTTGCTATGGCTGCATAGAGAAACAGGAGGCTTTGGTAACTGTACATTTAGACCATAAAATCTATATTTTTCACCTGTTACAATCTAAAAACTTTGCTTTTAAATGCTTGTTATTTCAGTTTCTATTTCCTGCTCCTGTTTTGTGGGATCAGTAGGCTTCTAATTCTGTTCTTCAGTTGGAAGCGGGGTGGGGAGGGAGGGACATGCACTTCGTTTGCTACAGGTTTCCTCAGGTTCTGACCTTGAAGTCAATGCACATGGTCTCTCTTACTACCATTTACTGTGTTACTCGCATACACAGCAGAATAGTTATTTTAATTTGCTTTACTGACATAACCATCTTTGAATAACTGTATGAAAAACACTTTTACTATTAGAAGAAGCAAAAAAATCATTCTTACAGCAAAACATTTACAAAAGCCTCATAAATAAAAGAATTCAGCCTTCTTAGAGCAGTGGTTCTCAACCTTTTAAAACTCAGTGCACCCATCATTAGACCCATGGCACCTCTCAGAAAATTCCAACTTTTTGTTTTCACTTGTTTTTTTCCTACAGAAAATACTAGAGCAATTCTTCTTTTGCAAAGAACTCAGACGACAAGAGACCAGAATATTTTAATACTACAAATTCCTATGTGAAATCTCTGTATTTATCTTGTGAAATCTGCTTGTAACCCTAACTGTGCTAAAATTGTGTGACACCCCATGTCACCCTTGAAAAGATCTCAGGGCACCCCAGGGAGCCTCATCACCCTGATTGAGAATCATTGCCGTAAAGGATGATAAAATGCCATAAAAGTAAATTATTTTATGTAAATATACAATTTTCTGATACTTCTAAGGATATCGGGACTCCACCCTCTTATCACCTCGGGATTAGGCAACAGATGAATATAAGGATTTGTCTGCATGACTGTGGTTATGGTGGTGGGTCCAGTAAAGAAAGGCCTGAGCATGCCCTAACCAGCTGAGCCTGCTGACATGCTCCAAGGTTGGAAATTTGCAAGCGAGGCTGCTTCTGGATTATCTCTAGCAGGTGCTTTCAGGACACTGGAGACCAAGGGTTTGAATGCAGCACAGAGAGATGAGTCTGTAGCAGCCTCACTGGCATATTTCTGGGTTTGAAGCATGTCTGCAGACACAGATGAGTGGGATGATGGCAGGGCATACTGGACTCTGCCCTTGCTTAGAACCAGTGCTATTGCAGTTTGGACAGTCCCACAGTTCTTGCAGCCAGATGCTGGGAGGTTCTGAGTATGTGTTGCAAGTTGATAGCACTAGGGATCTTCCAGGACTAGGCCTCCAATTTCCCAGTCACGTCCTATGCTACTGGGTTAAAGCAGTAGGTTAACTGACTAGGCCAGCCACAGCAAACAGAGGCCATCTCAAATCTGGCGCATGATACACACCATTAATGATCAGTGCACATGTTTTTCTTCCCTCTTGAAAACCACATTGAAATCTATAGTATAGCAGCGCAATGGCTTTTCTGTGAGGCCAATCC